ATAATATCAGATTCTATTAAATAAAAAAAAAGTTTTAACAAACGATGCTAGACATATTTTCTTCCTGTATAAAATTTTTTTGAAACTCCATTAGCCCCAAAACGTAATCTTATATTACGCCCATCAGTTACACTGATGCCAAAAAAGATTGTGTTTTCGAGCACCCTGTATACAGGGCCGCTCGGGGATAGCTCTGGCCCCAATATGAATATTTTATATTGAATTACTCACGCTTCGACGGTCCGGCAAAAATATTGTCCTCTTCGCACTTGTGTACGGTACTTTGCGAGTTTAGACTTCCTTAATACGATTCGCAATATTCAGGAGGAAGTTTCTCGAAGCTTCAGTGCGCATTTTCGCATTTACAGTCCCGTCTGTCTAGATGATGTTACATTTTTAGGGTTCCGTACCCAAAGGGTAATACGGGACCCTATTACTAAGACTCCGCTGTCTGTCTGTCTGTTGTACTTTCGCATCAACCCGCCTCAGTTCCATTTAATTAATGGAGTGGTATAAACCAAAATGATATTTCGACCTTAAAACCAATGAGCTTATTCGTGCTTATTTAGTAACTTATAAATTTATAAAAATTAAAATATATAAATATACTATTAATGTGTTTGTGGAATAAGCCTCGGCTGCATACGTTTTGTGCCTTTTACCTTTACGTTTGCTAAGAACACTGGTTTTAAAAATTTATTATAACATCAAGGCAAAATTTCGAACGAAATAAAAAAAAGTTATCAAACCGCCTGCAAAACCTGTCCAGTTTCAGATGCATTGGTATTGGCAACTTTGGGAAAGTATTCACTTTGCTGACGAAATGCAATCGAGTATCACATAAAACTTTGTAGATAAAATTGTCGACAAATTTTTCCCGATGCCAGGTTTCGAACCCTGCCTCTTTCTGATTACGCGATCCAGACGCTCTACCTGCTAAGCTAAGTGGTTGATATCTTCACCGCGAGAAAATTGACGTCTTATTTAATTTCATTTTTATTAAATTTATAGCAATGATTTACGTTATCATGTTACTCTTTTACACCAATGATACTTTCTCAAATTATATTTTTATAATAATTATTTGGGAACTAGAGATAGCCTTTGCTATTGGAATTTAATTTTCATTTAGTGCTAGTCCCTGCACTTAACGTATTTTACTTCTTCGCCACCTCCGTTTTCCGTTTTATTTCCTGGGCAAATCTGCACATTTATACGTGGGCATAAATAGGCAGATTGCATGCACAGTGATAGTTAAAAATCACTATTAATAACTATTTTAAAACAAGAAAATATAGACATATCACCGCAAAGGTGTTTTTTACTTGACTAGCTATTTTATCTCTAGATGTTATATGTTAAACTTTTGGAGATTAGCATAGCTCGAAACTACACCATCACTACATAGTATAAAACAAAGGCGTCCCGCTGTCTGTCTGTCCCTAAGCTTAGATCTTTAAAACTACGAAACGGATCTTGATGCGGTTTTTTTACTACATAGGGTGATTCAAGAGGAAGGTCTAGGATGTAAAATATATTGCACCCGTGCGAAGCCGGGGCGGGTTGCTAGTAAATCAATAAATAATGATTTGATAAAGTACGATTGATTTCGAGACCACCGATGAAGCTTACGCTGTTGGATTCAATGACACGTCAACTGCTAACATTATTTAGAACGTGCCGGATAACAAGCGTGTCGGTTAACGCGTGTCGGGACGGGGCGTATCAAAATCCCTGCGAACGGGAATATTCCCACAACGGGTGAGTAGTACGTAGTTCGCGCTAAGGTGGACAAGGGGCCGTTGTAAATGGTGGTGGGAAATCGCTGGTCTCTCTATGACATTGCTCTGTGCAACCGTATCCATAAGCCGTGATAGCTCAGTGAGGAACCGTTGTAAATGGTGGTGGGAAATCGCTGGTCTCTCTGTGACATTGCTCTGTGCAACCGTGTCCATAAGCCGTGATAGCTCAGTGAGAAACCGTTGTAAATGGTGGTGGGAAATCGCTGGTCTCTCTGTGACATTGCTCTTGCAATCGTGTCCATAAGCCGTGATAGCTCAGTGAGGAACCGTTGTAAATGGTGGTGGGAAATCGCTGGTCTCTCTATGACATTGCTCTGTGCAACCGTATCCATAAGCCGTGATAGCTCAGTGAGGAACCGTTGTAAATGGTGGTGGGAAATCGCTGGTCTCTCTGTGACATTGCTCTGTGCAACCGTGTCCATAAGCCGTGATAGCTCAGTGAGAAACCGTTGTAAATGGTGGTGGGAAATCGCTGGTCTCTCTGTGACATTGCTCTTGCAATCGTGTCCATAAGCCGTGATAGCTCAGTGAGGAACCGTTGTAAATGGTGGTGGGAAATCGCTGGTATCTCTGAGACATTGCTCTTGCAACCGTGTCCATACCCGGTTGTATACCCGGTGCCGGCACCAATAGTGTTGCTGCAATTTAAAGTGCTGACCTATCACGTCCTCGGCTCTTATCGGGAACATCGTCAGGAAGCCGGAATATCTTCGAAACAATTTCAAAAACTAAAAACGTTTTGTAGATATTATGTGAAGTCTGCCAATCCGCAGTCGGGTCGCGTCGTGGACTATTTCCTAATACCATCTGTACAGAGAAGGCATTTGTCAAGCTATGGGACTTATATAGGCTGTTAATTTTTTTTACTAAACATGGTTTACGCGTTTAGCAAGATGTTAGGCTTCGCGATCGATGAAGCGTTAATTCCTGTAGGTAATAAGATTATTATATGATAAATGACGATAAAGATGAAGAGAAAGGTAAAGATAGAGATTAAAAAGATCTTTAATGCAAAAATAAAGGTTAAGGTTAAGGCACTATAAAGGTAAAACTAAAATTTGCTTTTGTTGAAATCGTTAAGCGAGAACGATACAGACAATTATGTAAGCTTAGCTTAAGCAAATTATTTTTGTTGTTAGATGGGTCGTTCCAAAATTTAATACTGCAAAGCCAATATTTTAATACTACAAAGAGAGATTACACAAGGATGTTACAGTAGATCATAAACAATTATGTTTTTTCTGGAAACATGTTTCGGTTTCTTTTATTTGTATGTTTTATTAAGACTATAATCATGGTAACAAATCATGGTGCCGCGTAGATAGTCCAAATACTCAACAAATGTATTTATGATGTATTAATAGAAAAGTATATTCTATTATAACACACTTATCATTAAAATGATGGCAGTTCGTGTCACATTTGGGTTTTGAAAAATTAGCGTCGATGAATTATATAATGATAAAAAATAAAACAAAATTTAACCTTTACGTAAGTAGACAGTTACTTTAATATCCGTTACGGGCAATATTTAATAACCACTAACATGTAACAATAATTATCAAGCCCTTAATGTCAAGCCTTTTTTGGGTACTACCTACCCCTTTGTGATAATGTGGGCGGCATATCACTTTACACGCCAGACAGTTTAATACCCCGATTTGCATTCCAAAAGTTCAAATCAGTAATTTAATGCATGCGATACCTCAAAAAATATCATTATTAATAGGTAGATTATTAATCTTTACTAATATTACTCGTATACAGGCGAAAGTTTGTATGTATAAATGGATGTTTGTTACTCTTTTACGCAAATACTACTGAATGGATTTTAATGAAACTTTATAATAATATAGCTTATACATCAGAATAAAACATAGGCTATAATTTATATACATTTTTTTATGTATATAAGTGTTTCTGTCTGAATGTTACGCCTTCAGCATATTCTATGCAGACGTAGTCGCGTGCAGCAGCCAGTAGGTAAATAAATTGGCTATATAAAAATAAAATTTCGTTTTGGGCATTTAGAATTCTATCTATTCGGATTCTTGTAAGTTTTTCTATACAATTTGTAAATTAATAAGAAAATAATTTTAACAATTTGAATTTCTAACTTCCATTGTCAAAAAATTTTATGAGACACGGAACGGTCTAGAGAAAATTAAACAGGATTATTATTAAAGAGAGTAGTATTTAAAGGAATACAATATTTAATGGAATATAATACTACTTATTTATAGAGAGTGACAAAATATTTTGTGGAAATTTCACATTAAGCATGTTGCATTCAGCGTACTATTAAATCTCAAATCGAGTGAACGAATATAAAACAAGATAGAAGAATGAACATCGCAAACTTGCTTACTACACATTTACATGGGAACCTTAACGCTTGTTAGCAGCAGTGGGTGGGAAAAGTTGATAGCTTTATCGACTAACCCCATTTGAATTAGTTCTGCCACGGCGTATTAAGACAAGATATGTAGGGGAGCTCCCTGTTCAGAGATGAAGGGACTATGGAATTTAAAATTATTAGTTATGGATAAGGAGTGAAATTTAGAGTAATTGAAAGAAGCCATAAAAGATATAAAAGGAAAGAATTATATGTTTTTAAAATTACCGTTCTTTGAATTATTTCGTTTTGTAAAATGATACTGTTAAAATATATATTATTTGTTTTTACTTTGAGATGATTCAGGTTGGTGTTGGTTAATGCAGGATGATAAAGAAGATATATTTTGCGGTTTATAACGCATTTTATTACATTTATATATCTTTTTTGCCGGTGGTACCAATTACTTTTTTTTTACTGTGTTATAAACTCACAATTTTTTTCGGAATATTGAATTTTAAAAATATGGTAAGTTCAAAAAATGTAACAAAAAACAATTAGTGGTCCTAAGACTTAAAACAATTATTTTTCTTCAAATATTAAAATTGAAACTTAAACTCACTTTTTAATCTATATTAAAACAGGGAAATAGAAGAAAACCAAATTTCAATTTAGTGTACTTTAATCGTCTATCGAACGAATATTTACAAAAAGGAAACACTTAATAACTAATATTGCACATTTAGAATACAATTAAATAACAACAACGTGAACCGAAAGAAAATGCGTAACATACTATGAGACACGGTTCCAACGGTTTGACCTTAGTCCGAGTAAGTGGGTAATTCCTACAAAGCTGTTCACTTGAGAACGGAGCCATTGTGAGGGTAGAACTGTTTGCTTTTCTTGTTGTAGTTGGCCGGCGATATGTCATCCATGTCACCCTCTTTGTCCTGGTGCGCGGTCATATGTCTGGTCAGATGGTGTCTCTCTCTGAAGCTCTCGTTGCAGACCGGGCACTTCAGCTTCTCCTCCCTTTTCCTCCGGTGGGGGTCGGTTGCCGTCTCGCTCTTATGGTGGGTCCTCATGTGGTAGACCAGGTCTGAGGTCATCCGGAAACTGATGCTGCATTTGGCGCATACGTTTTGCGCTGGCAAGGAAAACGCGGCTAATGTGGGTGGCAGCAGGGTGCTTAGTATGGCCGCCGCTGGATTGGCTATGAGCGGACTCACGGACTCGCGTGGCGAGACGGGGAACTTCATGAAGTCGGCGTTCGGCTGCTGGAAGTTCTGCACGCCGAACGGGTAAGAGGATCCCGCCTGGAGGTAAGGTATTTCTGGTCGGAACGGCAGAAAGTTCATCTTGTTGGGCGAGATCTGTGGCGTTTTCGGATCGGCCGGCTTACCTTGATACTCCATCGCTTTAAAGGTTTGCGCCCTCTGTGGGATTAGGTTGGAGTCTGGGTAGTTTGGCGACGAGGAAGGCACGTTCTGACTTTTGAAGAAGCTGTTGCTGTTTAACAGGTGTGCCGGTGTGATCAGATTAGTGAAGGCCGTTGCCTTGTTGAAGGGTCCAGTTGTGGGGCTGGAGGCGGACAGCGGTGGACTGATCGAGTTCTGGTAAAGGAGATTGTCTGGACTCACTGATGGATTCGGGGATCTCAGGGTGTAGTTGGAGACCTTAGTGAAGGCGCTTTTGGGTGACGCCTCTCGAAATTTCTCTCCATACCTCTCATACCTGGCTCTGGATTGCATGCTTATTAATGTTGGATCGTCGAATATCTTGCTTTTGTATTCGGGCAGGAACTTTGGCTGGCGCGTCGCGCTCTCGTTGGAGTTCGGTCGGCTCCTGGAGCGCTCCGAAGTGTCCGAGTCGCTGAAGTAGGTCGACTTACTGGGATATTCGTCGGTACCCACGTCAATGTTGACATCGGATCCGAAGCCTGGCGATATGTTGTTGTTCACACGAACCCTGTCTTCGTCTTGGTCTTTCGGTTCCGTACCGTTGTCAAGATCATTGTGCTTGTAAACTTCGGCAACTCTCTTCGTAGGTTGCTCCCACTCTTCAGTATTGAACAGCTGCTTGGAGACCCTCAGTTGTCGCTCGGGCTGCTTCGGCCTCACTTTTTCGTCCGGCATCATGAGGAAGGCGACGTCGAACGAGCGCTTAGAGGCTTTTGTTTGATTCAGTGCTGTCGACTGCATGTCACCCTTTGACAGCTGCGCCGAATGTACACTTTCTATACTCAAACTAGTCTCCTTCGCGTCCGGAGACGGTTCTTTATAACTTTGGTAATTGTTCTGAACGTCCATTGTCATTGTACAATCATTTAGTTTTTCACACGCGAACTAGAAACTTTTCGCACTTATATCGCGGCGTCGGGATACGGACGCGTGCGTGGTACCCGTCGGCGGATTCACGAATGCGAGTGCGACATAAGGGTGGAAAATATATAAGTGGGGTTAAGAACTACCCTTGGCCGGGCCTTTAGAGTCGGGGGGGCGTGGTGGCGGGCCAATAGGGAGCGAGCGCGGGGCGTCAAAGACTCTCGCAGACCAATGGCTGAAGCCTGTAGCGATGGCAAGTGAAGCTCAATCAGCGGGTCAAGATAACTGGCGCGAATTGAGAGCGCATTGAGTGGTAGGGTCAGATCGACAAAGACAGTATGATGTGAGTAACGGGCGGCGACTTATTCCTCTGTTCAATGTGTAGCGTTGGAAAAATAAAACAAACACATTGGGATATGTAGACTTTTGTTGGCTGTACCTTAAAAAAGAGAATAATTAATATTTTAATATATGTGTTTATGTTTAATGTATATGTGTATAAATTTGATGATTTTTAATGATTTAACAAATTAAATTAACAATGTAAAATTGAAAAAATATGTGTTCACACGAGAGGAAGAAAATTTTGGTATGAAAAGAAATAAGGAAACGTAACATAAAAGAATAAAACTAGAATTAAAATAAGAAAACAGAATTATTAAAAATGTCCCAAGTTTCCTTAATGTTATGTTTATTATTTCTTAGAGAAAGCGAAAGTTTCTTCGAACAGCCATTATTCCGCGGAGTTCGATTGTTGCACAGGCCAGTTTAATCATTACGCTATCTTTATCTCGCCAAACAAGGCACTAGAAAAACTCCAACCGTTATGATCGCAATAAATATGTTTTATATGTCACATAAAAAAATGATACTACGCCAGTAGACGGCGCAACCCCCGAGTGTATGGATGAGATTGCGAATAATGCTATTAACACGAACGCTTCTTCTCAAATTGATATCCTACTAAGCGATCGAACAAGTGAAAATGAACCTAAATACGTGCACCATAAAGCTGCAATAATGACAGCAAAGGCTGAGGCTAATACAATTACGGCCTGTGTAGTAAAAGAAAACGTTAAGTTTTGCGGCAAAAAGTTAATTTTTGTACGGTCGGAAGATGATGTAGACGTGAAGAAAGACCCAAATGAGTTCTGTTCGGTAGTGGGTAACGATAATAAGATGGGCGCAGACGTTAAAGGAAAGCTATTTGTCAGGTTTTAGCCATTTTTTTGCCATTCGTTCGCGGTCTATGAAAATCTGTTCCATTTATTTAAGTCGGGGCGTTAATGAGGTTTTTTGAGGATTGTTTTTTTAGAAGCGGCATATTTTTATACGTTTCAAGGCAAATACAGCATCTCGGTATTCGAGAGGGGTAATTTTTTAATATTTATGGATGGAGTTTGATCGTTGATTGAATGAATAGAACTTTTATGACAAAACCGGCACAATTTTGGAGAAATCCCTACTTTATACGGTTTTAAATAGAGAATTACCATTGTATGTTTAGTTTCTATCTATTCATTGGTTTGTCAACTTAGGCCATTGCACTGCCACTGCATCCAAGTATACTTTCCGATATTAATTGAAAATAAAGAAAAGCGTCTTGTTATATATTCGAAAATCTGTCCCGTCCATTCACTCCCTCGGACAAACTGTTAGTAGCGATTTGCGATCGACCGAACCATCAATATCGGCCACGCAAGTCCGTCGGCCGTGACATCTTATTAAGTGGACAAATGCTCCGGAGCTCGCTCCTTGACGATAGACGACGTTGCCAGCTGATGGATGGTGTGCCTTTGCCTCGGAGCCACTGGCTTTTTACTAACGTCAACGTTATGTTAGAAAATATAGGCAAAATAAAAAAAAATATAAAATCTACAATCATCTCATATGGTTAAAAGATTTCTATTACAACATTTTAATCGCAACTACGCGAAGTCGATGTGTGTGTGTGTATAAAAACAATGAATGAATAAATAATTTCTAGAGGAGTTTTCGAGATAATGTTTTGATCGTTTTGTACTTTAAATAAATGTTTTGGTAATAATTTGGTTAATATGAGATTTGTAACTTATGCGTTACATTTATGCTATACAGCGTAGTATTTTGATAGCGTTATTTTTTTAAAGACTGCTTGGCTGGATTTTTATTATAAAGGTTTTGATTAATTAGGGCATCAGGTTCTGGTCTATGCGTTTGTATTTCATGTCAGATCACCAGATTCTACTTTTCATAGTACAGTAACCGAAAATTAATTAAGTTTAAAGATCTTATTACAGTCGATATTGTTTGACCAAACAACCCAACAAATGAAATTTACTGTCGGTACGTAGTTCTTTTACAATGAAGAAATTATTGTTTCACATACCTAATTCTATCAATCCTCAAAGTTTACATTCACTTTAAAGCCTTTAAAGTCTTGAATTTAGAATAAAGTTGCTTACCCCAACTTTTTATACAAGATTGAGGAAATTCTCTTATTAATTTTATATTGATCGAGTTAATGTTACTAGTGGATGAATTTGAAATGTCATTGATGTGTTACAATATCAATATTAAAGGATTGAAAGGATGTAAGCGCTAAAGTTTTCTTTTTTTCTCTTCCGCTCTGATGTTTATTGAAAGTGTTATCACCTCCCCGCTGCATTCTGGACACGTGCCGCGTAATCCAGTTCACGCGTTCCCAATTAATTATCAAGACTTATCCATATAAAGTTCGATTTATTGTGCCCTATTAGGCTGCATCTGATTTCACTTAATTCACGCATCCTCGCTTTTTGCACTATTCTATTTCCTCGGTTCATCATTAGCATATTTTTTTAATTATCTTCGGCATCAATTACAGCTTTTCAATTAATTTCACTATAAAATTTAGACAGCTGTTTATTGACTGAACCGGTCGGCCCGCGGTTACCGGTTTGAATCCCAATGGCTACATGGATTGTTAATAATATTAACAATCGATCCAATTACTATATCAGGGTAAAAGTTATTTAAAAAAAAGAGTTATTTTAAAACATTTCTCAGAATTACCCCAGTATATAATTTGCGTCTTGCATCTAATCTTAAAAATCAAGTGTTTCATTTTTCCTGGAACCTTAGATGCCAAATACACGAAGTGCATTACAGCCTTCAAGTTATTTTAAGATAGCCCCCCCCCCCCCCCCAAATGCCGATACAAAGCTACAAAGGTACAAACAGAAACTGTTGTGACGATCGGGGGGGCCGCAGATGTAAGTTTGATTGTGAATATCCCCGAGGGTCGTTGTCACCGTGACAGATTAACCGGTGAGCAGCTAATCTTCTTTGTGCTCGAATCCCAATGGACTGTGTCTTCATTACACAGCGTTCGATCGTTATATTCAATGTGATCGAGAGTAAAATAAAACAAACTCTTAATCCGATGTGGACAAAATTAGGAATTATTCAGTAGTCTGAAAGTGGAATACATAATGCGCATACATTACTTACTTATGGAACTATATACGACGTTACGTTTGTACTTAGTTTTAAAATTCTGTTTTAATTTTAAGTTTCCATTCTCTACCCATAAAATTTTTCCTTTTCGCCTTCATACACGTACACAAAGTCACGAATATTATCATTATACTATCGCTTAGCTTGACACTTACTTTCATCAGAAATATGTTTCATCAGTCTCTTTTCGTTTATCATTATTACTTTTATCAAGACCGTAATGTTCCGTTTTCAAAATTTTTTGAACACCATACTCTTTCAATTTACACTTTCTCCCAATTACTTGCACGGTTTATATCATATCATCCATTTTCCATAAATGGAAAATGGCATATTCAGTTATAATATAAAAGCGCGTTAATCCATGATAATCTATAGATAATTGCTATAAACCCGAAAATCACGCAACACCTGTATGGACAAACCATTAAAATATATTTAGCTTTATCCACCGATATTAGGGTAACGCCAACATCAACATATGGTACGGCACAATGGCATAAATACGAGCTTCCAATGTAATCATCCCCCACAATAGCTCACTCTTAGATCAACCACCCTGTTAATCGTTTGGATTGCATTTCAATCGCATTCCTCTATAATATACCTTAGACCTAAGCACTTAGGTTTAATATCCATTGCTAGTATACATCCATTTTCCAATTCAATTGTAGTTTTGTCGCATTTAAAAGCAGCTCCGGTACTTAATTTTTATAATGATTGCACCGATCGAACAACTTTCAACGTTATTGTATAAAGTTACGGTAAGTATTCCTTTGAAATATGTTAATAGTCAATAGCGTGTTCGATCGAATTCGCTCTTATTACACTGTCTATAAAGCCCCTGGCAAAGCTGATAGCTTAGTAGTGCGCGAAATAATAGCGAAACATTAAAGTGGAATTCGGCGCGCACTTGTTTATGAATCCTGGACCATATGGTGTAAAAGCCGCGCAGGACAATACACCCCCATCGCGGGTGCCCATTACCATATGGGAGACGTTAAATGCGCTTTCAAACGAATCGTATTCCGCTGGTGATTGATAAACTTGCACACTGATCTGTTAAGTGAGCGTAAAATTTGTCAATGTAACTTATGTGAATTAAAATGTAGTTTGATAGTATGAAACTCTTTATACTAGAGCTACGGGACCAAGGCAACAAAGATAAGCCCATAGGCTAATAAATTTTTGGGCCAAGGTATCGAAAGCGACACGATAGTTAGTGTTGACTTGTTCTGACTGCAACTAAAAGATATTTCGTATTTGCTTAAAATACAGCACGGGTATTAAATTCTCGCAATGTCATTTTTATTGCTTAGTTCTAAGCCTATTGGTGAGGCTGATACGTCTTTATTTTTGTGTGGTGCGTTACTTAGTCCTGTTTTAAAACATCTACATTCATACCATGACAGTGAATATAATATTTGTCTGAAAGCTGTTATTGCTGATTGTAGCAAAGAAAAATAAAGCACTCTAAATGATTAAGTGCATAATCTATTGTGGTGTGG